GGTTGGGGTTGGGGTTGGGGTTGGGGTTGGGGTTGGGGTTGGGTGAGGCGAGGCCGAGCCGCGGTGGGGGCGTCCCGCCGGGCCTGGGAGCGCAGCGCTGGCCGGGCCTGGGTGCTGCGGCGCCCCTGTACCGTGTCTGTGAGGAATTCTCAGCGCTCGCCTGGCCCGGACCCGGGCTGCTTTGCGCCGGTGGGGGGAAGCAGTGGGTTTAGTAACAACGATTTTTGCTTGGTGTCGGCAACTTCCTCGCTCTTCCCTAGGTACTGGGCCAACTTGAAGCTCTGGTTCAAGCAAAAGATCAGTAAGGAGGAGTTTGACCTGGAAGCGCGCAGGCTTCTCACGCAAGACAATGGTAAATAAAAAAAAACATCTTGTGTTTGTTTTCCTGCTGGCTCTACTGCTGCCTTGCCTTTGCCAGGCCCGGAGGGAGCTCCTCCCTGCTGCACAGTGTTTCCCGAACAGGGAAATTGCTGTAAGGGAAATAAGAACGGCCAAGGCTGGGGTAGCAGTGGACTTAAAAAGCTGGGAGGTGCCCTGGCCTTCAGGGGGAAGTCCTGTTGTGGCCCTGGCACCGACAGGCACTTTCACCTTGTGTAAATACGGTAAACAGGTAAAATATGTTGTCCTGGCAACCAAGGAGATGTTTTCTTATGCCACCATAGAGACCCAGTCCTTTCCGTACTGCACTCTCCTGTGGTTGGGGCTAAACTGATATTGTGGCTGAAGTGGGGGAGAGAATCCCTGAGTTCATCTAGACTAGTTATGCAGCAGGCAGATCCCCATCCTGGCCTTTGGGGGTGGCAGGTTGGAGCATTGAAGGGTGAGACTTTTGTACTCGCCTCATTGTGGGTCTGCAAATGTTGGTGGGCATTGCTGAGAGCGTTGCGGGGGCTCCTGACTTCCATCTTTGCGACCCCTGTGGGGAGGGGCAGGGAATTTGTCAGTGCTTGTGTTCAAAGGCCAAAAAGGATCCTGCAACCCTCTGACCCTGCTTGTGAAGTTTGTCTTTGCTCTTTGCAATTTGTAATTACATGCTCTGTGTTTCAGTGATCCTTCTGTGAGGAAGCTGCATTTAATCTAGAAATTATTTAACTTAACTTCACCTTCCTGGGCCTGGTTCTTACTGGTCCTTTTCTAGCAAAGCCAAAAGTCCTGCTCCCAGAAGTCTGTGTGGAAGGAGGGACAGCTGATCCTCCTCTCGCTGGCTGAATACACCAGATATTTCATGTTGCATGCTGTAGAGCTGGACTCCTGTGTATGGCACACTAAGAATGACCTAAGTTGTTTCATGTGTAGTATCCTTGTTAGCGTGGTAGCAGATTCTGGGTCCAGGAGAAGAAAACTCTCAATAGTTGTGCCTGTGTAGCTAAGCATGTGGGGAAAGCATGGCAGTAGAAAGGCATAGTGAGCTATTTCAAGATCGCTTTGAGGGGTACCTCTGGGCACTGATGTGTTGCTAATGAACTGTCTGTCTTTACGCAGTCCACTCTCACAATGATTTCCTCTTGGCTATTCTTACCCGATGCCAGATCTTGGTTTCTGCACCAGGTAAGTCCCGAGAAGCCCTGTTGAAAGCAACTGGTTAGCAAACCTTTACCATGTGTGTATTTGGTAGGTTTTGTACAAAGGACGCCAGTTGTCTGAGCTTTAATATTCATGTTCTTCGTGCCACACAGGCAAAAGAGTAGTAAAGTAGTGATGCAGCTGATTTCAGCAGAGATGCTTTTTTATAAATAAGCTGTGTGTGCTTGATAAGAGGCTAATGCTGGATTGCTGTGTGTGATAAGCTGGTTTGATTCCTGGATTGGTTGTATACTGTGAGCTGAAGTGTGAAGAGATGCTGCTTTGCCTTTGATCTGCTTTGCTTAGTGAAGTGTGAAGAGATGCTTCTTTGCCTTTGATCTGCTTTGCTTAGTGATTCCTCTCTTCATGATTTGGTGGTGCTCTTTGTTCTTCTCTCTGCTGGGGATACCATTTTTGTGAGCTGGATTTTCCAGGCTGATCTTGAAATCAAGTATGTGTCTGACTATCTGATAGAAAAAATGCTTACCATGAATGCTTCGTGAGTCTTGATTGAGCTATGGCCAATTAACCCAACCTTCTGCAGGTAATTAACCTTTTAACTTTGTAAGCATTTAGAATGGCTTGGAGTCAGGGTTGCACAAGGTATGTTTTGTTTGGTCTTCAAAAGAGCTCTCAATCCAGAGATCTGATAAAAGGATAGTTGAGCTGCAGTTCAAGATATGAAACTGCTGTGTAGTAAGGGAGAGAAAATTATTATAGTTCTGATGGGCTGAGACCTGAGATGAGTTTATTTGTGATAAGAGAATACCTGTTATTAGTGTTCGTGGTGTAGCTGGAGGAAGGAAAAAATGCAAAATTTATGGATTGCCTGTAGCTTTGTGTGTCATAGCTGGTCTTTAACTATACCAGCTGTGCTAATTAAATACTAACCTCCCTCACCTCCCAACTTGCTTTGTTTGCTCTTTACAAACACCCTTTGAGTCCCAGAATTGTCTTCTTTAGTGGTCTGCATTCATGTAATTCAGAAGATTTATGTCTAAATGTTGCTGCCTCTTGCTTTTAACTTTAAGTACGTACCTCTGACTATAAAAAGAAAGCACAAGAACAGTGATTCCGCTGTGAGTACTACATGAAGTAGCTGAGTCTAAATTAGGAGGGGGAGGGAGAGAGTGCCTGTGTTCTCTGAGCTCAGCCCTGGGCTGATGTGAGTGCTGAAAGAGGTTGCAGCCCAGAGATTTTGCTTCTGAGTGGCAGTAGT